ACATGAAGTATACATACACACCTCTTTGGGCTGGATGCCATTGACATAGGAGTGCCTGAGTGTAGCATAGCCTCTTTGCGAAGTGCCTGGTGGAGCAACACAGAATAGTCTTTGTCAAACGGCAGCAGCAACACCTGCACGTTAAATAACTCCAGCGTGTACTTGTCGTATAGCTGAGCTTCGGTCAAATTAAGTTGCTTGGTTGTCGTATGTTCGCCTTCCCTGATGATCGTGTAGAACAATTTGAAAAAAAATATAAATAAAAATCAGACGCCGATTGAAAATGGACGGCTTGCATACACGCACGCAAAGATACATATTTGCATATAGATACATACTTATATATACATACATACTTACATATATTACATATATATGTGTGTGTTTGCATACATACACACACTCATACATACTGGTATATATATTCACTCTAGAACGCAGGTGGAGATACGCATATATTCATACGACAGCCCACGAGTATAGACATGCACACAAGATTACACACGGGCACATATGAACCCAAAAGTAAAGACACACACACTCATACGTATACACACTCTCGTACATATACACACTCTTGTACATTTACACACACTCATACATATACACACACGAACGCACACACGTACATACGAACCCAGAAGTAGAGAGACACCACTCATACATATACTTATTCGAACGCACGTGTATACGTATACACACAAATATATTCAAAATAAACACACGTACACCCTTTAACAAACATGCACACACACCCCTTATCAAGCACACACCCTTAAACATACACACACACACACACACATTCGAACACAAGTACACGCACACACACACATACACACCCTTAAACACACACACAAACACCCTTTAACATACATACACACACGCACACCCTCTAACAAACAGACACACCCGTTAACACACACACAAACACCTTTTAAAATACATACACACACGCACACTCTCTAACAAACACACACACCCTTTGACCGGTATCATGGCATCGGCCAGCTTAGAGGTGACCGTCATGCCTCCCAGATCGATTGCGATCATTGACAGGTGCGCCTGTGTGGTGTTGGTAGTTGTAGATACGTACGCATGTCCCTGCGGAATTTCAGGTATGATGAGCAGAGGAGCTGTGTGTGTAATAGGAGGAATAAGCCAAATGAGCCAAACAACCTATCAGCGCATGTTGTATAATAGGGATAATAAGCCAAACAACTTGCAGTTGAAGTATGTTCATGTGTACGCATGTGTCTGTGGTAGGTATCTCAGGTGTAATGAGCTGGTGAGTGGTGTATACAGTTGAAGACATAAGCCAAACAACCTACAAGTAGGGTGTGTCCTGGTTCTAGTTCGCTAGGCTTTGAGTGTTGTAGTAGAATCTTTTACGATAGAAGTAGCTGTAGTAGCAGGTATAACCATGTATTTCATCTGTCTGTAGACCACATTGCCCGGTTTGTCTGTGTAGGTATACACCTGGTTAGGGTTTAGGGTTTCCAGGGTTTAGGGTTTCTCCTCCTAGGGTTTTTGCTGTCTATATCCGCATACGCTCACAGACCTTACCTTGCAATGTGATGTCCACATCCACTGTTGTCCTGTTGGTAGAGTAATAGACCAGATATCCCTGCGATTGCCGGGCCAAATGGTTCAGAGTCTCTTCTCCGATGGCCGCATACTCATCCAGTTGTAGGTCAGGGGGGGGCGTGAGAGTATCGGGATATATCACAATGTGCGTTAAGATATATATATATATATATATAATGTGCGTTGTGAGTGTTTATAGATGACTCTTGTTTGCATAACGGTATAGAAATCGCATGTGAATAGTATGCTGGCAACGGTGTATGGATTGTACACCGCCTGTAGTTTGTGCGCTGATGAATGGGTACGTGAACTATCATCCTCCTGTACGTATAACTATCTCTAAATAGAATTCTACCTACCTTCAGTATATTTAGTATGCTGGCCACGGTGTATGGATTGTACACCGCCTGTAATTTACGCGTGCGCATGGTGATCGATATATCTGCGTCAGACTTCTCCGGAACGGTCGATATTGACATCGAGAGGATCGGTTCATCACTGTCGTGAATTAAGTAGTATGTCGTTAGTTAAGTACTATATCGTAAATTGAATGTTGTGGACATACATGCACATACGCACTCAGACATATACATAGACATACACTTCGACCAAGGCATACATTTTAATACATATATATTCGAACATAAACAAGCATTGCGTAGGGAGCATAGGAAAGACGCCTACATGCCTCTCTCATACCTTGTTACGTACACCTAAATAGACATACAAATACTTCTACACACACACCCATAAATATATATATACATATATATACATATAAATATATACATATATAATATATATATATATATATATATATATATATATATATATATATATATATATATATATATATATATAGTATATATATATATATATATATATATATATATATATATATATATATATATATATATATATATATATATATATATATATATATATATATATATATTATATATATAGATATATACACCTATAGATATAGTTTCCATCGGGGCACCTTGCCAGAAATGGAAAATTGGTTCACAAGTTTATGATGTTTTTAATTCGTTCCTAGATTGCATTTAACGCAATTTAAAAAGCGAACAAACCAACGCCACGATACACAGAAATTGACCTAAGTGATGTACACGTATAATATCGCATTTTAAATTTGCCAACAATGTGATTGATTCCAGTAGATGCTTGTCATGACGTAGAAACCCCATACCTTTCACCGACAGTTGCCATTGATTGGTTGTTATTGAGCATCTGCAGCCCCGTGGCGTGCAGTGCGGTGCAGTTGCTCTGCTGTGCTGTGGGGGTTGCTGGTAAGGGATTGGAATGAGAGTGCTGCCGGGCGAAGCCACGATGCGTATGGCTATCAGTAGCCCCGGATGGATACGACACAGAGGCACCGTGACCTCTGCTTTGTTTGTTGATAGGAGGGTTTTTCGTATTTCTGGTGGTGATGTTGCCATGACCTTCCGTCGGTTGAATCGCTGGTTGCGTGTGTGCCTGAGTACAGGTCCATTGGTCAATGGGTCTCACATCGACCCCCTGCACATCCAAGTCACCATAGTCGCGTGGTCCGGCATTGGTATTTGTGTTGCTTGTCTGCAGATCTGTGGTTTCTGGATTTTTGTCCCCTGCTTCTGCATCGTCGCGCATTGCGTCATCACTCACATTTTTAAGCATGCATTCCTCCAGTGTTTTCGAGCGGTCTACAGTAGCGGCTTCTTCGGAATCACTTGGTTTCGTCTTGAGAATTCGCGGCTTAGGTGACGAATTCTTCCTGGTTTGCCTGGGAGGGCTCATTAATTTGCCCGAGGACAACTTGCCTGCTGCCTGGGCGGCCTCCCTGGTCGTTCTACCGCGTGCGGCGTCTTTGTGAGTGATTGTATCGTGTGTTGTGGTGTCGTCGTGGGGCGTGGTTTCAGCGAGTGTGTGTTGGAGTGGTGTGTACTGTGTAGGCATGAGAGGAGTGGGTGATGTTGGGTGGCGTGTGATTTTGGTGATGACGGCTGTGTGGTCGGTGGTGGGTGACATATGAATGGGCGACAGCGACGCTCGCTGCTCCGCATGCACTGGATCAGACAACTCCGTGACATTCTGCAGTGCCAAACAAAGACCACGGTAGTTTTATAAATAGGTGATCAAACTAAGACCACGACAGGTCGTGTGAGGATAAGCATGTGTTCAAAAGTTGACAGTTGTTGCTCTGTGAGTCACGTGCTGACGTCGCCTTGCTCTTGGCGCATCACTAACATCACTAACATCACTAACATCAAGAAAATCACTAACTTCACGAATATCACTAACATCACGAAAATAATCACGAAAATCACTAACATCACTAACATCACTAACATCACTAACATCACTATCATCACTAACATCACTAACATCACGAAAATCATTAACATCATGAAAATCACCAACATAACTAACATCACGAAAATCATTAACATCATGAAAATCACCAACATAACTAACATCACGAAAATCACTATCATCACTAACATCACTATCATCACTAACATCACTAACATCATGAAAATCACGAAAATCACTAACATCACTAACATCACTAACATCACTAACATCACTAACATCACGAAAATCAC